TGCTGCTGGCGCTGCTGCTGCCGCTGCTACTGCTGACAGAAGTATACCAAAAGCACCTCCCGGCACCAAAACAGCAGGGCACGGAAGGACGAACAGGCCACAGAATCGCACCGAAAAACTCTCTAACGTGACTTCTGGAATCCTACTAGAACTGAAGACCTGAGGGAACTGATGAAGGAGACTAGAAGGCTGCTGCCGTTGCCGCTGCTACTGCTGCTGCTGCTGGACTTGCTACTGCCGCTGCTACTGCCACTGCCGCTGCTCTTACTGCTGCTGCTGCTGACAGAAATGTACCAAAAGCACCTCCCGGCACCAAAACAGCAGGGCACGGAAGGACGAACAGGCCACAGAATCGCACCGAAAAACTCTCTAACGTGACTTCTGGAATCCTACTAGAACTGAAGACCTGAGGGAACTGATGAAGGATACTAGACGGCTGCTGCCGTTGCTGCTACTGCTGCTGCTGCTGGTGCTGCCGCTAACAGAAGTGTACCAAAAGCACCTCCCGGCACCAAAACAGCAAGGCACGGAAGGACGACCAGGCCACAGAATCGCACCCAAAAACACCTAATTTCGTACCGGAAATGACGCCGAATCGCATTAAAAAAGTCCCTAACGTCCCTTCTGAAATCCTAACTTCTGGAATCCTACTAGAACTGAAGACCTGAGGGAACTGATGAAGGAGACTAGAAGGCTGCTGCCGTTGCCGCTGCTATTGCTGCTGCTGCTGGACTTGCAGCTGCCGCTGCTACTGCCACTGCCGCTGCTCTTACTGCTGCTGCTGCTGCTGTTCTTACTGCTGCTGCTGACAGAAATATACCAAAAGCTGCTGCTGCTGCTGACAGAAGTGTATCAAAAGCACCTCCCGGCACCAAAACAGCAAGGCACGGAAGGACGAACAGGCTACAGAATCGCACCGAAAAACTCTCTAACGTGACTTCTGGAATCCTACTAGAACTGAAGACATGAGGGAACTGATGGATACTAGGCTGCTGCCGTTGCCGCTACTGCTGCTGCTGGACGTGCTGCTGCCGTTGCTCCTGCTGCTGCTGCTGCTGCTGCTGCTGCTGCTGCTGACAGAAGTGTACCAAAAGCACCTCCCGGCACCAAACCAGCAAGGCACGGAAGGACGAACCGGCTACAGAATCGCACCGAAAAACTCTCTAACGTGACTTCTGGAATCCTACTAGAACTGAAGACCTGAGGGAACTGATGAAGGACTGATGAAGGATACTAGAAGGCTGCTGCTGCTGCTGGACTTGCTGCTGCCGATGCTCCTGCTGCTGCTGCTGGCACTGCTGCTGCCGCTGCTACTGCTGACAGAAGTGTACCAAAAGCACCTCCCGGCACCAAAACAGCAGGGCACGGAAGGACGAACAGGCCACAGAATCGCACCGAAAAACTCTCTAACGTGACTTCTGGAATCCGACTAGAACTGAAGACCTGAGGGAACTGATGAAGGAGACTAGAAGGCTGCTGCCGTTGCCGCTGCTACTGCTGCTGCTGCTGGACTTGCTACTGCCGCTGCTACTGCCACTGCCGCTGCTCTTACTGCTGCTGCTGCTGCTGCTGACAGAAGTGTACCAAAAGCACCTCCCGGCACCAAAACAGCAGGGCACGGAAGGACGAACAGGCTACAGAATCGCACCGAAAAACTCTCTAACGTGACTTCTGGAATCCGACTAGAACTGAAGACCTGAGGGAACTGATGAAGGATACTAGACGGCTGCTGCCGTTGCTGCTGCTGCTGCTGGTGCTGCCGCTGACAAAAGTGTACCAAAAGCACCTCCCGGCACCAAAACAGCAGGGCACGGAAAGACGAACAGGCCACAGAATCGCACCGAAAAACTCTCTAACTTGACTTCTGGAATCCTACTAGAACTGAAGACCTGAGGGAACTGATGGATACTAGGCTGCTGCCGTTACCGCTGCTGCTGCTGCTGGACTTGCTGCTGCCGTTGCTCCTGCTGCTACTGCCACTGCCGCTGCTCTTACTGCTGCTGCTGCTGACAGAAGTGTACCAAAAGCACCTCCCGGCACCAAAACAGCAGGGCACGGAAGGACTAACAGGCCACAGAATCGCACCGAAAAACTCTCTAACGTGACTTCTGGAATCCGACTAGAACTGAAGACCTGAGGGAACTGATGAAGGATACTAGACGGCTGCTGCCGTTGCAGCTGCTGCTGCTGGTGCTGCCGCTGACAGAAGTGTATCAAAAGCACCTCCCGGCACCAAAACAGCAAGGCACGGAAGGACGAACAGGCTACAGAATCGCACCGAAAAACTCTCTAACGTGACATCTGGAATCCTACTAGAACTGAAGACCTGAGGGAACTGATGGATACTAGGCTGCTGCCACCAAAAAGCACCTCCCGGCACCAAAACAGCAGGGCACGGAAGGACGAACAGGCTACAGAATCGCACCGAAAAACTCTCTAACGTGACTTCTGGAATCCTACTAGAACTGAAGACCTGAGGGAACTAACTGATGAAGGACACTAGAAAGCTGCTGCCGTTGCCACTGCCGCTGCTGCTGGACTTTCTGGAATCCGACTAGAACTGAAGACTTGAGGGAACTGATGAAGGAGACTAGAAGGCTGCTGCCGTTGCCGCTGCTGCTGTTGCTGCTGCTGGACTTGCTACTGCCGCTGCTACTGCCACTGCCGCTGCTCTTACTGCTGCTGCTGCTGACAGAAGTGTACCAAAAGCACCTCCCGGCACCAAAACAGCAGGGCACAGAAGGACGAACGGGCCACAGGATCGCACCAAAAAACTCTCTAACGTGACTTCTGGAATCCTACTAGAACTGAAGTGAAGACTTGAGGGAACTGATGAAGGATACTAGAAGGCTGCTGCCGTTGCCGCTGCTGCGGACTTGCTGCTGCCGCTGCTACTGCCATTGCCGCTGACTTCTGGAATCCTACTAGAACTGAAGACATGAGGGAACTGAAGCATACTAGAAGGCTGCTGCCGTTGCCGAGCTCGACTCATGGACACCACTCGAAACGCTGAAACGCCACCTAATTTCATGCCAAAAACGCTCCAAAAGGGACCGGGAAAAGTGCCTAACGTTGCTTCTAAAACCCTAGAAAAAAAGATCTTTTGCCTGCCCTCAAAGCCTAGGAAAAAAGATCTTTTGCCTGCCTTTGTGACAACTGTCTTGTCGCGTCCTGTCGCTTTGACGTCAGCTGCAACAGCTCGACTCATGGACACCACTCGAAACGCTGAAACGCCACCTAATTTCGTGCCCAAAACGCTCCAAAAGTGACCGGGAAAAGTACCTAATGTTGTTTCTGAAACCCTAGAAAAAATCACCTCCCGGGGGAAAACACCCTGCCTCTGAAGGACGAGCTAGGTCCAAAACCACGCCAAAAAACTGCCTAACGTGTCGTCTGAAATCCTAGAAAAACAATATTTTTCGACAGCTTCTGTTGCCTGCGGCTGCTTTTGCCTGCGCCTGCTGCAGCTAAACAGCTTCGAACAACTCACCTCCCGGGGGAAAACCCCATGCTTCTGAAGGACGAGCTAGTTCCAAAACCACGCCAAAAAACTGCCTAACGTGTCGTCTGAAATTCTAGAAAAACAACATTTTTCGACAGCTTCTGTTGCCTGCGGGTGCGGCAGTAAAACAGCTTCGAAAAAATCACCTCCTCCCGGGCGGAAAACACCATGCCTCTGAAGGTGGTGTTGTTGTTGTTGTTGTTGTTGTTGTTGTTGGTGTTGGTGTTGGTGTATGGACACCACTCGAAACGCTAAAACGCCACCTAATTTCGTGCCCAAAACGCTCCAAAAGTGACCGGGAAAAGTACCTAATGTTGTTTCTGAAACCCTACAAAAAATCACCTCCCGGGGGAAAACACCCTGCCTCTGAAGGACGAGCTAGGTCCAAAACCACGCCAAAAAACTGCCTAACGTGTCGTCTGAAATCCTAGAAAAACAACATTTTTCGACAGCTTCTGTTGCCTGCGGCTGCTTTTGCCTGCGCCTGCTGCAGCTAAACAGCTTCGAACAACTCACCTCCCGGGGGAAAACCCCATGCTTCTGAAGGACGAGCTAGTTCCAAAACCACGCCAAAAAACTGCCTAACGTGTCGTCTGAAATTCTAGAAAAACAACATTTTTCGACAGCTTCTGTTGCCTGCGGGTGCGGCAGTAAAACCGCTTCGAAAAAATCACCTCCTCCCGGGCGGAAAACACCATGCCTCTGAAGGTGTTGTTGTTGTTGTTGTTGTTGGTGTTGGCGTTGGTGTTGGTGTATGGACACCACTCGAAACGCTGAAACGCCAACTCACCTCCCGGGGGAAAACCCCATGCTTCTGAAGGACGAGCTAGTTCCAAAACCACGCCAAAAAACTGCCTAACGTGTCGTCTGAAATTCTGGAAAAACAACATTTTTCGACAGCTTCTGTTGCCTGCGGGTGCGGCAGTAAAACAGCTTCGAAAAAATCACCTCCTCCCGGGCGGAAAACACCATGCCTCTGAAGGTGTTGTTGTTGTTGTTGTTGTTGTTGTTGTTGTTGTTGTTGTTCTTGTTGTTGTTGTTGTTATTGTTGGTGTTGGCGTTGTTGTTGTTGTTATTGTTGGTGTTGGTGTTGGTGTTGGTGTTGTTACAACCTCTCTGCCCTGACGCGCTCCCCCTTGCCGTCGGCCGGGGTCGGCGGATTTTACAGTGCCTCAATATGTTTAATGAAATTTCACAATATTTGATGATATTGAGTAATCATATGCGAGCATGTTGAATAAACACCGGAATAATAAATCACAATGAACACCTGGGCTGACAAATTGGAGGGTGCCTTAAAAAGTATAAGTAACAGATGATCACAGACTTTACGGTGTACCCCCTAATTACTTCAATTAGTTCATCAACCAGGATTTCGAATATGGTGCTGACACTCACATTTAAGTAGCGTTGATTTACTTGTTGCCTTTCTATATTATATGTGCTATATGCTTCTATTGCGATTCGTTGTGTACATGTTTGACCTCGTTGGCAGTTTGTCAGGATCCATGTCCCTCTATGCAACAGAGATGCAGCTCATGAAGATTCCACCAGATGTAAAACACATTGCGAAGGTTTTGGAGGCGGTCAACCAAAGCTTCTTGACAGAAGATGACGCTGCAGAACTGCTGCATTGCAGCAGAGAGCGTGTCGTGCAGCTGTGTGGACTCTGCCAAGACCAAACAAAGGAGCTCAAAAGAGAGTTGCGACAACAGGTATTTGCGTTGACTGGAGGAAAGGAAATAGATGGAAAGATCGCAGCTCCTCCAAGCACGCGGCAACGGAAAGCCAAAGTCAGCAAATTGGATTTGTTGTTTCTGGATCAAATGGAGTACCAGCTGAAAGTTCTGGGATATGAACCTCGATGTGACACCTGGATTCCAGATCCGTTTTCAGATCCAGCGGATCCTCCAGAGAATCTCCCGGATGCAGCAAGTGCTCGAGGTCCACTCACAAGATCTGAATATTTTCATGGCAAAAAATGGCCGCAGATTTCTTGGTTTTTAGGACGACTGAAAGCCATGGGAGCCTCGCACAATGCTTTTGCACACGTCTTGGATGTGGGAGGAGGTCGTGGAGACTTAGCGATTCACGTTGCATCAACTTTTGGAGTGAAAGTCACGGTAGTAGATACCAATGAATCATCGTTGCAAGCTGGCAGAGATGCGGCCTGTCTTGCCTCACAGAATTTGGAGAACTTGTACGACTGCAAGGATTTGCTCAGCTTCCAAAACATGGATTTCAGTGTCGCAGCTGAGCAGCTTCCGGCAGAGATTGACCTGGTTGTGGCATTGCACGCTTGTGGAGGCTTGAGCGATGCTGCTTTGGACTTTGCAATTTCGCGGCAGATTTGTTTCGTGATTTGTCCATGTTGCCATTTAAAGCATCAACACTTGGAGCCAAAGCATGGCTGGTCGTCCCTTTGTGATGTTGCAAGTTTGTCAGAGGTGGACATGAGAAATGAAGACCCCAACGAAAAGGCCAACCAAATCCTGCGAAGACTGGCAGAAATCGATCGCAGAGACATCTCTTGGCGTGCTCTCTACATCATTGCAGCTTTGCGGCTTGAGGTTGTGAAGAGGTCCGACAAGAGCAGACGCATCAATTGCAAACTGGCTACCTTTGCACAAGAGTATTCCTTGAGGACAGGCCCATGACACAAATCATCACACATGTGACATCATATGTATGGTTTAACAACTCTGCCCCCCAGAACTGCAATTAGTGGATGATGTGCAGAAGACATATAGTATAAATGGGCGGTGTGGCTGGTATTGCAGACCCTCTTGACAGGAACCTGGTCCTGGTTGGAGATATTTTGAGTGCACCTGGTTAAAGCCACTGGGAGGGAGCAGCAGTTGGACTGTGCGGAACATTCCTACTCACGACCACCTTGGAGAACTTTGGTGTGAGGCATTGGAGGCCACCACGTGCTGAGATTGTTCAAAAACTTTGGCTGTTGGACAATTCCATCTCTCTGGACTCTCATCGTTTCGGAAATTTCTGCAGAGGTGCCTCAACAGCTAGAAACGGACAGCATCGTTCCAAGTCCAAAAGCCACCAGGCGCAAGAAGACACCGATGCCTTCGGATGCTACTGAATGTCGGTGTCTTCTGGGGCCATGTGGCACCGGCATTGATCGCCTTCACATTCTGTGGCCAACCGCTGTACCTGGAAGTGCTTGCAGCACCTACCAGTTTTTGGATTTTGTTTGGTTTGTGCAGCTCTAATGGAACAGTCAATGCAGCTTGCAAGCGCAACATTTGCCGCGACCGCGAGCGGTGGTGAAATTGAGCTAGCAAAGAGGCACAGGATCAAACATTCGCAAACATGTTCAAACCATACTGAGAGAGATGAGACAGGATTAGACGTTCAAGGAATTATGTACCGCGTCTCCCAAGAGTGATTCCATCAATGAAAACAACCCATCCGGTGGTCCTTTGTCAACTCTATTAGAATTTCAGTTTCTTGAGATGTCTACAGTTCACATTTTGTGTGTGTGCGCCTCAGCTTTGGCCTTGCAGTCACCAAGGGTGAGATTCTGCAAAGTCCTGGTTTGATGTGGTTTGCTTGCAAAAGAAAATCTTTGCCCATTCCTTAGCAACACCTTAAGACACATAATTCCGTACACAGCATGAAACACCGCTTTGTTAAAAGGACGAAATGATGATAAACAAGTTCTACAGCGTTGCGTCATTTCCGATTGAAGCTCCAACCAAAGGGTCATAATTCCGGCAAGCAGATGGGCAGATGATGCTCATCGATGGCAGATGATATTCTCGCCAGTTTGGGCCAGATTCACAGGTATCTGTCAGGCAATCCACAATGAAATCTATGAAACCTTATGATACCTATTCTTGTTTTCGTTTGAGATCTCTTATGCAGATGGCAGCACCCTGCAGTCTCTGCATGCCCTTCCAAGGCTTGGACGATTCATCGGATGACTCGCAGGATGTAGACCACCTGCTCCCTGACTCCCAAGATGCGAGGGGCAATGGTGCAGGCAGTTGTTGGATGCTTTCCATTGCTGTCCACTGCTTTCCATCATATCTCCGGTGGATGAACTGCATGACCTGGGATGACCTGGGGTTCCACTGGCTCCACGGGCTCCACATTGTGAGGCTCCCAACGTGCACAGGCTGGAGCCGTTCAGGGAGTTGAGATAAGTTGAGATGAGTTGAGGGTGCTGATGTTCCTTTCTGATTGCTGATATTGCTGTTTGCTGTTCAACTTACTCCGTGTGCTTTCTAGTTGGAACATGTCGGAATCGGTTGAAAAAAGCACATGTTTGCTGTGAACCCATCAGAATGCTTTGAAGATCTTTGAAGTAGCGGGATGATGTCATCGCAGCGAATTATGGTACACGTGCCTCCCAGGACACGACTGGCTTGGGACGTGCTTCAGAGAGGCCCAGAATGATCAGCATGATGACATGATGGGATGGATAGGGATGGATAGGGATGGAGGGATGGAGGGATGGAGCTGGTCAGTGCCCGTTTTCAGCTGTTAATGACAGATGCGACATGACTCGACAGGCTGGATCTACAGCCAGGCCATGACACTTCCGTCCCTCGGATCGCCCTTGCAATTCCAGGCTCTGAGCGCCCAGAGCGCCCAGAGGTCCTGAACCAGGCAGTTTCGAGCAGCGATGTTGATTCCTGCGAATCAGATGACTCAGATGACTCAGATGACTCTGATCTCGACATTGATGCGCTTCTGGAGGACATAAGTGAGAATCATAGCCCTCCCAATGGGCTTCCGAATGACTTGCGTACCCACGTGGCAGAAGGCCAAGCTAGCAGTGGAGTTCCAGGCTCTAAAGGGATCAACGCCGTCAACTCCCAGGATGATTTGGATGGCCAGAAGGATGAAGTCCACGAAGTCCATGACAGTGGGACAGGTTTGTTAGCTGAGCTTCCAAAGCTTTCCTTGGGAACTGCCGGACGAGTGGAGGAGGGTGCCCAAGAGACCTTCCAAGAACCGAAGTCCACTAGTTCAATGATCCCTGATAGATTTTCATCGGCAGAGCCTGTTGTAGATTCGATGGAGAAGCCCCTGCCATCGAAATCAGAGCGTATCATTGTACACCAGCCTCAACCTCCCACAGCATCTACATCCATACAATACTCCAGGAAACCCAAGCTGACACCCAATTTGCACCACCTCCCTGAGCAAACCAAGACAGAAACTGTTCATCAGGGTACGCCAGGCCAAGTACTCGAGCCCGGGCCAGCGAGGCCAGCAAGGCCACAACCAGATGACTTCATCATGTCCATTGGCGACTTGGCTGCTCGCAGAGCAGAGGCTGAAAGGTTGTGGAAAGAGCAAGTCAGACTGGAGATTTTGTGTGACATCCTGCGAAGCCTGAGTTGTGTGAAAGCCGACAGTAAAGTTTTCAAAGCGGTGACGGCAGAGTTGAAGCAGAGGGTGCGCTTGCAGGAGGAAGCGAGGGAAAGGCTGGAGGTGATCCGCTCAAACCTCACTGGTGCAGAAGATGCATCTCATCAACAGAGGCTGCCTTCTAGATCTTCCACTGGCTTGATGTCGATTGAAAGAACAAAAGCAGACATGTCTGTGACAGCTTTGGAGCATCCAGTGATTCAGCTTGAAAGGGAGGCAAGGAGGCTCCATGGACAGTTACTGTCAAAGATCCGTGTGAGAGCTGAAGCAGAGGCCAAAAAGGCCCTTGCCGAAGCCGAAAAGAAGAAAAAAGATGCTGAGCAATGGAGAAGATCTGCCAAGGCATCCTTGGAGATTCGAAAGAAACTTCAGCCTTGCGGAAGCGAAAGAGACCCAAAGAATGGTCCCAGAGCACACCAGACCTTTGATCCTGGAGTGCGAAGAAAACAGTGCCTTCGGAATCCTTCGGACATGCGTGGCTGTCCACATTTGAGTTGTGGATTGATTTGAAAATATTTGAAAGGAAAGCTGGAACTCTGAGACATGTCATCGCCGCCATCGCCGCAATCTTTCTAGGAGTTTGTGCCAAAACTGCTCAGAAAAGCCGTCAACGGCTTCTTTTACTAGACAAACAGTGTCATGTGTCCTGCAGCATACAGATGCAAACAGCTTTGGTAGAATACCAAGAAAAGACACCCCAGAAAACCGGAAACGATCAGAAATGCACATGACTGATTGACAGGCACCAGACAAGACAAACATCACAGCCTGTATTATAAGGGACATGTTGAAGAGACATGAAGAAACAACTTTGCCGCGCTTCCATGTAGCCTTGCTATGTCACTGAGTAGGGTCCAGTACTTAGCCGCGTCCCAATCCTTCCCTTGTTCAGCAATGAAACGGCTTGCAGGCCGTGGCTCAGCGGCTGCGCCTTCGCATTGCTAGGGCCTTGGAGTTTCACGAATAAACATACTGTTTGGGATGTAACGTTGGTGAAACCACGTGTTTGCCATGTGAAACCTATGTTTGATGCTTTGCCTTCATTGAACCTCATTGTATTGAGTACAGCCCACAGCCCGCCACAAAGGCATCCAAGGGTGGCTTGAACTTGAATTTGTGAGTTGCATTGCAATGCACTGGGAGCGCCCAGGCGCCGCAGACGGCGTGTTTGCCGCATGGAAGGCAAAGGCTCTCTATGTTGTCCAGCTTGGCTGCACTCAAACACAACTGACTCAAATTCGGAGCACACCCTCACAATTTGACCCATACCCTGGCTAGGTCCTTTTCGAGAACTGCAGTTGCTCATCACAGCCTTCTTAGACAAGGACCCATGGAATTCTCGCTTTGGCAATCTTTCTGAAACGTGTCAACGCTTCCAGATCATGAAAACATGAAGAGGCCGATGGAGATGGAATTCCACTGAGACCCCGCGGTCAAAGTCTTAAGGTCCAACTATGATGGTTTGTACTGAACCTTGTACTCAACATGCTTCAGTACCATCAGTACCATGATTCCATGATTCCTAAGGCTAGACGGCTCCAATATTTCAAGCTCATCATGGCTGCGCAAAGGTGCCAGCTGTTCGGTGCTCTCAGTGAATGATGTGAATGTTGGAAGATGTTTGAAAGATATTTTGAAAGATATTTGATGAATTTTGCCACTAGGTTACAAGTTGTAAGATGCTTTAAGGATCTCTTAGGATCTTGCCGTCCTTTGTCAGGCCTGGTACTGACGCTGAAGCTGGTCTTAATATGGGTTCCAGCCCTGGCGGCGTGGACTGCGGTGGCTGGAGACTTACCGACTTACCGTGTCCGAGGCTGTCCCCTTACAGCTCATTACGGCTCCACAAAGGTGTCTGGAGTGACGCTGGACCTACGGACACCAGAAGAGATAAACCAGGAAGAGCAGGAGGCGCTCCACATATCCGGGCTTGAGTTCAGGCTGTGGTTGAATGACATCTCAGACGTGCGAATTTTGAATATGGCATGCATGCTCTGAAGTTTGAATTCTAAAAAGCGTCATTTAAGCTTTGCGGCAAGCTTGATGCGAACTTTGTCGAGGCTCAGAAACTGGAAAGGTTCTTTGACGTGGAACACCTTCCTGAAGTGTGAGCCGCAGCTGGCTGTTCATTTTGAATTGCACATTCTGATACATACATTCCGCACATTTCTGTTGAACTATGTTCAACTATGTTAAACTACGTACGTTTAACCGCCAAACCCTTCTGTCAAGAGTGAAGTGCTTTGAACACTTCAGGTTGAATATGCGGCAGAATGGGGTGCAAAAGAGCAGGCACACTTTGACACGTGAACCACTTTCTTCTTCTGTTTGCCTATTGGCTGTGTGTAGCTTGTCCATCCGCAAGGCATTAGCCAGCATCGTGGACAAGCTTACCAGGCCTGGAACCATCCTCCATCAATGTGTTTCAATTTCCATTGACAGACACCTGAAGCATGATTCAACTACGAAGACTTTGTGTCCCCTCAAGGAGCCCCCCTGTCCCTGAAGCTGATTGATCGTTTGACTACTTTCCAATACAGTAGGGGAAGTTGCTTTACTTGCGGGCTGACCCAAATTGCGTTTGCACTTATATTGATATAGACTATAGTATCTATAGTTACATTACGTTCCATGGCTGCTCTCTGCCGATTTTGCCTCTAGAATCTCTAGAATCCAGAGGTCAAGAACTGTGCAAGAATCCATGGAGCTACTGCCGGTGGACACAGCACCAGGCCTGTTGCACTTTGCAGTCCATCAGCATGTTCTGTTTTGCAAAACAGCATCCAGTGGCATACATGGCTTCAGGCCCTTCGGAGCGCTCGGAGGAGGCTGAAGCGGTGGTGTTCTCAGGGGATCTGAAGGGATTTATTTCCTGGTTCGTCGATGGCTGAGGTCATGGAGTTTTCCTACATCCATCCACCGCCGCAGGCACGCGAAACAGAGACAAGGTGACTAGAATAGAAAAGATATGATTAGATTAGATGATTAGATTGATAAAGCCATATAAAGATATATATAAAGCCATTAAAAGTCTAGCCGCCAGTCGCCAGTCTCATTTCTGACAGGCCAGCAGCCTCAACACCTTGGATGTGGAAATTGCATCTGAAGGACACACTTTCTTGTGATCAGTGGCAGGACTTGAGCCTACCGTCCTACCACCGTCCTAACACTGTCATCTATGCCTGCAGCTTTTTATATTGAATTCTTGATGATTTCGATTTTCAGGATACCGACCTTGGAATCCTCGCTTGATTCTTGCCCACACGTCTGGCAGTATCATCCTCAAGCTGGTAACGGACAGCGGAAGATGGAACATGTGCTCCAGCAGCAAAATTAGCACAGCAGCGACATGCCAAGGTCTCGCATTGGTGACCATGAGATTTCAGCATCTCCAGGCTGCGCACGTCTCGCCGGCCTGTCTATGAGTCATTGACATTTAAGAGCTCAATCCAAGAGAACTCAGAGAACTTTGATTTGGACATGTTGAAACCTGCAGGGCCGAAGCGAGACATGGTCATGTACAAAGCTTCGAGTGGAGCTGATACCGAGTTCACCTGGGGCCTGGATCTCGTTTACGTACTGAGACTCGATGCGCAAACCGAGACTTGGTGATGCCCCACTGCTCAGGCCTTGGAAGAAGCCATTTGCGATCTCCAGGGACCTCTACCACATGGTGTCCGTTACATGCGAATTTGAGGTGAAAAAAAAGATGAGGCATCAAATGACGCAGATATGAGAATCCGTGGTATTCATGAGCTTATAGCTTGGGATTCCAAAGAATGATAAGTGCTTGTGCTCGAGCATAATAAATAGATACATTTCATAAACCCATAAACCATCATTAATGGATTTAATTATCTCAACATAAAACAACAAACATCACAGTATATTAATCACTGTCCTATATCACACATTACAGCACCGTAGCGTATCATATCACGGCATAAGTAATCCTGTCATATTTTGTTGTATGGTAGTAACTACACAGTGTATTGCACTGCATTTAGTATTTTGCGTTAGCGTAGCCTAGCTTGATGCAACATGTCATCATCTTTTGTTATTGTTTTTTTTTCAATTGAATTATACCATATCATTTCATATCATGTCATATTCTGTCATGCAATATCATACCAGAGCATTTCATTCTATACTGTATTGTATTATTGTATTTTCCCTGCGGACATGCGAGATTGACTCCTTGCCTGTGGGGAACATGTCAGGAGGAATCTTTTTGGCAGGTTGCTATGTGGGCAATGCAATGCAAATACTGTGCTGCCGGGGCAGGGATTACTTTTTGCATCAAAATCAGGTTTGCCTGGACGATACAAGATACAATTGAAATTTAATTAGACCGCAGGAATGAAAATGAAAGGAATATAAAACCAGACAATTTTTTTTCCTCTTGACTAGCTGCAGCAACCCTCTCCCCTTAGACTCCTGACAGGTTTTATATGAATCACATGGTGGATCGCGGATCAGCTGGTTTGCTTTAGAAGAATTTTAATGTATTCCGATTTGAAATACGATTCGTTACGCAGACCACACGAAATAAGAATAATTGATCCGTAACTGAGGAGCATAATATTTATTCTTCCTCCTGATCTATGAAAGGAAAATGAAGGGATATGAATACAAATAAACAGAATATGAAAGGAAAATAATGAAAAATAAAAGGAAAATTACGGAAATAAATACAATATGAAAGGAATATATATGTAAATAAAAAGAAAATAAAGGAAAATAAATAAAAAATATAAGATATTGCTAAAATATTTGAAACCGACTAAATATTTCTTCGATTTATTTCGGAATCTATAATCTCGAATATACAAAAATTTGGAATAATAAAAACCCCTCTTAAAAATAATAACCATAATAATAATTAATATTTATATATTAAAAAAATAATGAATTTATATTAATTGGATTTTAAATTATATATATTTATTTATAATTTTAAAATTTTATAATAAAATATTTTTAAAAAAATAATAAAGGTTTAAAGGGATTATATATATATATTTTTTTATTTAAAATTTAGAAATTTATTATTGTTTGATATTATTGATCTTAATATATATTATTATATAGATATAAAATTATTATTAATTATAAT